ATTAAAACAGTGATATTGAGCTGTTCTAATTCCTCTCTGAGCCGCTCACGTGCGAGCTGAGCTGTTCTGCACATAGGAAAGCAAGTGGAGAGAGGGAGGTTGAGACACAGAGATGGGGATGAGGATGAATGTCCTGTCCCCCTGCACTGGCAGGTCGTAGAGTCATGGAATGGTTTGAGTTGAAAGGGACCATAAAGATCATTTAGTCCCAACCCCCTGCCATGGGCAGGGACATCTTCCACTAGACCAGGTTGCTGCAAGCCCCGTCCAGCTTGTTTCACTCCTTTGTACCAGTCTGGTTTGGGGATTTTTGTTTTGTTCTTGGTTTGGAGCAGAGAATCTCAGCTGGAGGAAAAAAACCCTCAGTCTCCCACATCTCATCCTCATCATCCGTGGCTGTGCAAATTGCTGGTCTGCCCGTCTGTGGCGGGCTGTGGGCTGCATGTTAGTGAGGCAATTTAGTGAGGTGATGAACAACTTGGAGCGTTGCTTCCCTCTAACTCCTTCACGGCTTTGCTGCATCGGCAGAAGCTGTGGGAGAGGGTGGGAGGAGGAGGGAACGTGTTTGGGGCTCATCCCTGTGCGCGATTATAGAACCGCGGAGGGGAGAGCCTTGGAATCCTGTGACTCTGGATCATCTCATTTTGAAAGCAATTCAAATGTTCAGGAGCAAAAATTTGAAAGACAATTAACTCTGAAGGCAGACAGGTTTTTTTTTAAAAATAGAGGAGCTGGGTAAAAAGGAGTTTCAGAGACTTGCTATCTGCAGAATTGTCTTTAGAAGCTTTTTCCGTGGGCTCCTAAATCACAGAATCTGCCTCGCAAACCAGAAGTGTGATTGTCTAGATAAACACATTCAAGATCAGGTGTAAAGCTGCAGAGCCCCAGGGAGGTTTTTTGTCTTTTATTTTACTCTTGCAGCCTTTGGCATCTTTTGTTTGCTGTAAATGGGCAGCGGTGCCTCTGTTGTACCTTGACCTCAGGGCCCTGTTACAACCCTGTTTTCACCCTCCCTGGGAAATCAGTGGATTTAAGACCTTTCCTTATTGCCTTAAATATATTAAAAAAAATACTTTTGTGATTTTGAACTGGGTTTTTTCTTGATCTCTGTTATGATGGTGTATGTGGCACTTGCCACGAGAGACGTACCAGGAGGGGATGTGTTTTCTGTCGAACCCTCTGTCAGCTGGTAAAACAGATGCCTCTGAACTGATCAGTGTTCATTAATGTTTATTAACACAGTCTGCACTTAAACGTGCCTGCTGGATTTATGCCAGATTTCCAGCGTGACCTTGAACTTCACAGCAAGGTCGGGCAGCACAAACAGCACTTGTTCTGTCTGGGGGTGGGGAATGTACAGCTCTGTCCTCAGACCCCTTGGGATGTGGCATCACAGCTGGACCGTCTGGGCCAAACAGCAACTTGGGATGTTTTACATCGAGGAAAAAATACTGCTCTTTATTTTGGTTTTTTTTGTTGTTTGTTTTTTTTTTGTTGTTCTTGAAAGGCTCACAATTGCCCGAGGTGAGGGGCTGGAAGGGAGGGGGTGTATTTAGGAGAGTGAAAAAAAGTCTGCAGTTTATCCCACAATGGGTGGCTCCTCTCCCACGAGAAGACACTCATGGCTTTCTTTGGAGAACCCTGTGGCCTGCTGGGAACTTCAACCTCTGAGAGCCCCCCCCTCACCTCCAGCACTGAGCCCGCTCTGTGTCAGTGCTGTACCAGGCTGGGTGGGACAGGCAGAGCCTGGAGCTGGCGCTGGTGCTGGTGCAGGCAGGATCTGGCAGCACTCAGACGGGGTGAGACGGCATCACCTTATTCTGCAGCCCCTCTGCAGCGATGCCTGGGCGGGGACGGGGGGCAGCCGGAGAGGTTTTCCCAGTCCCCCGGGGGTGGTAACCACAGCACACCATTTGCAGCAGGCAGCTCTGAAACTGGGCAGGGGAGGGGTGGGTTACATGTGACGGCAGAAATCTGGTGTCACCTCTGAGGGGTGGGGCGCTGGTTATATTTTGGGTGAGATCTCTGTTCCCAGCCCCACTCTTTGCAGTTTATTGACAATAAAAGTTTCATTCTGTTTGCTTTGTGTCTTCAATGAGCCGTTTGTGATCTAACATTAAGTTGCCTGACCCCATAAAATCATGGAAGCAGAAAATGAGCTCTTGTTTGGGCTCGCAGGCTGCTCCCTCCCTTTCCATTTATTCCCCAAAACCTTGCTGCTTATCTGGGATCGAGCCTGTGACTATGCTCCCAGATAGGATACAAGGTTCCTCCATGTTTTATGAGCCCATTAAGTTGTTCTCCAGAAGCCCCAGTGAAGCTGTGGTTTGTTGGCTGCCTCCTCTTTTTCTCACCTGTTTGTTCATGAAGACGTAAATGATTGGATTGTAAACTGTGGCGGTCTTGGAGAAGTAGGAGGGCAGAGACGCCAGAGCTGGCTGGATGGTGATGTCTTTGTGGGTGGCCACCACCAGTGCAAACGTGCTGTAGGGCAGCCAGCAGATGAGAAAGGCCATCACCATCGCCACCACCATCCGCGTCACCTCCCGCTCCGCCTGCTGCGTCGTGTCCGACTCCTGCTGCTGCGCCGCAGCCTGTGGGGGGGGTTTGGAAGGGAGAGAGAGGCCTGTTAACAACTTGCAGCAGCATTTCCATCCCTTGGGTGCCCCGGTGTCAGTGCCAGGAGGTGTCAGCTCCACTGAGCGTCACAAAAACCAGCTTTGTGAGCAGAAAGCCGTGAGCTCACCTGTGCCCGCCGTGCTTACCGCTCGCAGGGTCATCAGCAGGTTGGCGTAGGAGAAGAGGATCAGGCCGAGGGGCATCACAAAGCAGGTGACAAACAGGGCCAGGATGTAGCTGTTGTTGTTGCTGCCGCCCGTGTACCAGTTGGGCCCACAGGAGGTTCTCAGACCTGGAACCAAGTTTGGAAACAAGGCTAAACCAACAATGGGCTTGGATCGGGGCTCAGTAACAGGCTCCAAAACAGCCAGTGCTGACCCTGCTTAGCAATGCCACCCAAGCACCTCTCACTTTCCCTGGAGATCAGCCCCTACAGAAGCAGGTTTTGAGTGGCTGCATGCTGGATGCTGCTCTGAGTGCTCCAGCAGCCAGAACAGGTCCTGCAGTGGGCAACTTCAAAAAAACAACCTCCCAGGGAGGATTATTGAGCAGCAGGAGATACCCACACTTTAAATTCCAGCACAGACACTCTCCAGCTACTCTGTGCTTCAAAAGCATATGTGGGATGACCCAGTGGAGTCTGATGCACCCCTCCCCTACCTTCAGGCACGTAGCTGCTCCAGCCCATGAGTGGTGGGGTTGTCCAGAGCAGTGACCAGCTCCAGGTGAAGGCACAGCCACTGACGGCGTGTCGGTGCTTGAACCGAAAGTCTCCCAGGGGTCTGCAGACCACAACGTACCTCTCGAGGGCCAGGATGGCCAGGGACCACAGCCCCACGATGCCTGGGGGGAGAAGGAGGGGTTGTGTCTTAGGGACAGGCTCTGCTGCCCACGCCAGGATGTGGTAGATGACAATCTAAAGCTGTCCAAGTAAATATGGTTTTAACAAGAATTCGGATGTTTTTCTTACAGCAGGGAGAGCTGTGAGGGTATTTGGCCCTTAAAGATGAAGTTGGCAATGGGTGTCTGTGATGCCTTGTGGTTGCAATCACAGTTTCTCCACAGGAGTGCCCTTGACAAAGGGTTTTGTGCAGTCCCTGGTGCACCCTCACCCACAGGTGTGCTGACACAGCAGCCAGCACCCACAAAAAGCACACCAAGCAAAGATTCCTCATGTGCCCAAGTGACATTTCCCTCTCTATGAGGACCAAGACAGATCATATGGTGACCTGGCAGAGCCAACCATCTACCTGACCGCTCCCTGTGCTAAAGAAAAGCTGAAGGACACGAGTTTTACCACATTAAAACGCTGAATTTAGGAGATGACAAAGCTGGTGAAACAGTCCCAAAGCTCTTTTGCTAAAGACAAAAGCAGCAGCCAGAGACCAAGGCAGGTCTCCAGGCCCGTGCCCTTACCTGTGAGGGAGACCATGAAGCCCTCCAGCTCACACAGGCGTTTGCCGAACACGAAGAAGCCGCTGATGTTGTTGGAGAGGCTGACGGAGCTGCCGCAGAGCGTCACCAGCAGGTCGGCCACGGCCAGGTTCACCAGGATGTAGTTCAGGGGCGACCGGAGCTTCTTGTACCTGATGGAAACCACGATGACCAAACCGTTCACCACCGAGGCAGAGGCCACGACGAGGCCCATCAGCACGGCCACCGACAGGTACACGGCCCGTGGGGCCTGGTGGGGCCACTGGGGGCCATCGAAGGGCCCCGGGGTCCCGTTATTCGGGGGCTCCTGCGAGCTGTCGGGGGAGTACATGGGTCTTCTGGAGCTCCACCTGGTGCAGGTGACCCTCCCCAAAAGCAAAGCCTCTTTATAGAGTGGGAGGGTCTGACGTGCCCCAGAGCAGCTTTGCATCCAAATGCCTTAAGCTTTATTTTAATCTGCAGGGTTTGTGCCCCTGCCCCCCCGTTTATAATCAGCTCTTTATTCCCGAGGGGATGAAGACTGACTTAAACAAAAATCTGATGACTGAACAGAGCATCATTTAATTGAGTAAATATTTTTTCCTTGTGCTTTCCAGCTGTCTTTTCCTGTAAGAGTGACCCCTGCCCAGCCCTGGCACCTGGGATGTCATTCCCTGTGCTCTGGGGGAATTGCTGGGCTGCAGGCTACTATATTCATATATATACACAAATATATAATATAAAAATATACATGTACTATATATACTACATTGGGCCATACATGCATTTTCTTTCTCCCTCCATATTTATTTATTCATTCATTTATTTATTTTCATATACATTTATACACGTAGTGTATATATACTACATTGGGCCAAGCAGCCCCTAAAGCTCTAGTTTAAAACCATCTCCCGCTCCCCAAATCCTTGCCAGACCCCAAATTCAAAAGCTGCACCACCAGCATCAGCTTTTTTTTTTTTTTTTTAACCTTTTTATTTTCGGTTCTCGTTATAAATATTAACAAATCCGACAAAAAGTACACGGATAGGTAATACTGAAATACAAAAGTCTTTCAGGATGCAGGTAAGGACAGTTTTCTGCAGCCTTCACATGGTAGCAAAACATTGGTATCAAACATTTCACGAGGCCTGGCATGACAACCACCAACTCTGCATGCAGCTGGGACGGACGGACGGACGGACGGGGTGCCTGCTTAGAAAAGACTGGGATACAAAGTGAAGGAACCCACACACACATGTCCTACTCCACCTCAGGCATAAACCAGTTTCATAGCAAGATATGCCAGAACGAATGATGGTGTGGAAGGAATTTTGCAAGAAAAAGGGAGGCACAGCCAACCTGGTGTTCCTGGAGCTTTCCTGGAAGCTCAGACCCAAACCAGGTTTTAAGATGCTGGAACAGAAAGGATTACTGGGAACATCCGACTTGACACGCTGCCAGCATTCAAATAAAATCCATGCATATCTGTAGAATGCATTACAAATATTAAGTTATTAAAAAAACCCCTATGAACCTTGGTTTTATCCCCCCCCCTTATCAAACAAGGTGTAACATGATCATCACTTTGAAAAGTAAACGTAGATTTCCAGAGATCCCATTGTTTTCCAAGAAAAAAAGAAGTCAGCAACACGCTCATGTGCATGCACAGGGCTCGGAAGCTGAAGGTAATTGAGATCTGTGGGGAAAGAGCAGCTCTTCCTAAGAAATCATGGTTTAAAGGCTTCAAAAATTTTGGGAAACGTGCAGCATTTCATAGAAAGTTTTAGCTCATCCCTCTGGGTGTCCAGTGGGATGAGGATGCAGAGACAGGCCAAGGTGGATCACAGAGGATGAAATCTGGGATTATTATTATTACTATTATCATCATCATAATATTATTATATTATTACTGTGCCATACACAGAAGTTTGGTTTGGATGCTGTTTGAGGCAGAAAATGGGCCAACCTGATAGCTGTGCCAGAGCCAAGCATCTCCACAAACAACATTCCAGCTCAGCCCCGAGGCTCTGCATCTTCACTGGGTTTTATTTAATGGCATGAATTGGAAAAGGATGAATAAGGGAGAAATGATAGAAAAAATTTAGCCTGAAAACTGGCTTTGCTGGAAAAATAGCTGTGCTGCTGCGTGGCTCCGGGCGGGAAGGCGTGGTTTCATTAGGAGAGTGGTGGCTGCTGATCCTGGGAAGCAGGAACAGCCAGGGGCTTCACTGAGCCTTTTATTTCGCCTCCCAAACATGAAGCTGCCCAATCCCAAGAGGAAAACCGTGGTCTGCACAGCTGTGCTGACTTCACATGAGTTATCGGAGAGGACGAGCACAACACTCCTGGAAGAAAAGCAAACACTCTTTCCAGGTTATCAGGGACACAATCATTCCAACAGAGGAGATTTAAATGCATAAAAGACTGTTTAGGCCCAAACCACAGAGACTCGACAAACCACCAGGGATATGGCACAGTTTTGCCTTGAGGAAAACAGTTCCAGGTTTTAAGTGACGCCTTTTGCCGATGCTGGACACACGGACGCAGACGGACGCATTCATTGTTGCCACTTGAATTGCAAGGCAGCGAGAAGGTAACTCAGTACAGCCAGGATTGGAAGAGGAGCCAGACTGCAGAGCATGCAGGCGTGAGTGTGCACACGTGTGTGTGTGTGAGCACACGTGTGTGTGTGTGCACGTGCATGCCCGTGGGCAGGGCTGTGAGTGTGTCAGGGTGCAGGGAGGCAGTTTTGGGACGGGCTGGGCGGAGCAAAGCACCGCCGCCTTCTCCCCTTGGCAAGGGTTTCCCCGCAGCCAGGCCGTGCCGAGGGGTGTCCCGCTCTCCCGGCTGCCCCCGGTGCCGCGATCCCCCGTATCCGAAGCCGTAAAGGAGGGAAGTCCAAAGGCTGTGGCGGAGCTGTGGCCGCCTGGGAGCGGCCCCGTGGAGCTCAGTCGCTGAGGACGGCGCCCGGCAGCTCGTTCGTTAGCGTGTGCCAGCGCTCGATCTTCTTGTCCTTGTTCTTCAGGCAGTCGAACCAGTGCTTCAGCCGCTCACCTTTGGCATTAATTCCTAGCACCACTCCACCTTGGGAGAGAGACAGAGACAGGGAGAGGTGAGGCGGGAACATCAGCCCTGCGAGGGATGCCGAGGGATGCCCAGGGGATGCTGGAGGATGCAGGATGGAGCCAGGGCATGCACCATCCTCACAGCATCCAATGCCACGACCTGATGTGACACACAGGCAATTGTAGCCCATCTTTCCCTCCCCCCTCATGGCTGGGAGCTGGGGCCTGTCCCGGGCAGCTTGTTCCTGTGCCAAGGGCTCACTGCAGTCACAGCAGCTGTCAGAGATACCGGGCACTTGTTAGTGATAAATCACAGAGACCAGGAGCAAAATTACAACAAGCCCAGATATCCAATAGAGATAAATGAAACCTCCCTGTTAAACCTGATTTTTTGTTCAGAGGAAAAGATCTGAAAACAGAAGGGGAGAGGGAGATGTATCTTCTCCCTGCTTTGGTGCTCCTTACACGGGGGATGTCCGTGTGGGAGAGGAGGCTCAGGTGCAGGAGAGGGATAAAAGCAGAACCAAAACCCAGCAAGAATGAATGTGGGGATGCAGAAGTGCAGAAGAGCAGCAGATGAAAAAGTAAGAGGCACAGACAGCAAAGATAAATAAAAAAGAGACCTTCTGGAGTGCCCCACTCACCTATGAAATCGTTTGACTTCCCGATATCATAGTCCCACACAGTGACTTCCAAGGTCTTTTTTGCCAGGTCGCCGTGCTTTATCTCATAGCAAAACTCCTGTGGGGGAGCAGAGACAGCTCAGGATGAAACAGGAGCTGGGGCTGCCCATCCTCCTCCTCAGGCTGCTGCCCTTTGCCACCCACAGGGAACCCAACCCCGATCCCCCACATAGTGACTAAGGCGTTGTTTTGATCTTTTAAATCTGAGGACTGAGAAAAGCCCCTCATTGAGAACCACAACCACCCCAAACCCACCTCATTGAACTCGGGGTTCAGTGTTTTCTTCTTCACCGCCGTCTTGTGCTTTGATTTCTTGTCCTCATCTGGTTTCAAGTATCTGCAACGAGACCAAAGCAGTCCCATCTCACGTGGGTGCTGAGGAGGGCAGGATGGGACCAGATCCCAGTGGAGGCAGGATGAGGTGGGCAACTGAGTCCCATGAGCCTGTGGCTCTCCTTCTCCTGCCTTCCCCTGCTAAAATGTTGGGAATGCCTGGGAGGAGGCAGCATTTCCTGACCTTAGCACTGTTGGCTGGCTGCAGAGAGCACTGATTATCCCATCTCCAGTCCCTAGGGGACACTGGCACTGCACACACGCTCCCAGCTCCCAAAACCAATCACTCCCGGCCCAGTCCCAGTCCAGACTTGGGACTCTGCTACCAGTCTGCTCATCCAGAGTCTCTCCAGGAGACAGGAAGCACATGCAGTGTGGAAAAGGGATCAGGAGTGAATGTGGCAACTGCAGCTTTGGGCACCACTGTTCCCTGTGCATATTCTGCAGCGCAGCAGCAGGGCTGGAGAGCAAACAAGATTAAAGTGTCATCAGAGATGGCACCTGAAATCTGGGCCAGAGCAGAGTGAAACCATTATCGTTTTGTGCTGGTGCTGTGCCTTTAAATATCAGTTCTGCTTCCTTGTTACACTTTCCAGATCTTGCTCATAATTAAAAAATTAGGGCTTGTACTGAGAAGCATCACTTCTCTCTCTGCTCTGATTCCAGCCCTGCAGATACAGTCTCCTGTGGATGGCACCTAAAACAAGCTGGGTTCAACAATGGGAATTGTGTTGCTCCTGGGCATTTAAAAAAGCAAGAGGGGATTTTTATACAAACACCTCCACCCCTAAAGAACAATTAAATAGGAAGGTCAAAGTGTCCTGCTGATAAATTCTATCTCCCAGGCGTGGTTTATCCCAGTAGTTCTGCCTTAAATACTGTCCCTGAAAGTGCCCAAGTTTGCATGAGTGCTGTGGGAACAGGGATGTGGGGTGGGAACAGGGAGGGCTGCTGGTCCTTCCATTCCATGGCCACCCCTTTTTTGCAGAGAGTGAATGTGAAAAATACCATTCCCCCCAAAAAAAAAACAGGAGCTGCAGCAATCCAGGGCCTCACACCAGCCTGGCTCTGCATCAGCAAACCATCACCTCCCTCAGCATCTCTGGAAAGCCCCTGGGTGACACCAACTTCCCTGAATCACTTGGGTGAGGCTGAGTCAGCAGCCCAATACAGTCATTTGAACGACTGTACTTAATATCGCTAGTGTTTTTCAAAAGGAAGGTGCTCCCAGTCATTTACATCGGGAAGTGTCAGCGGGACCTGTAAACGTGCCCTCAGCTCTGTTAACAGGGCCCTGGAGCCTCCGGAGCCGTGGGTTGCCATTAAAGTGCTGTCTGACCTAATTACACACACGTTGTAATTAGAGCTTTTCCCAAGTGCAGGGTGGTGGCTGGGAGCTGGGCTCTAGAGAGCTGGGCTGGGAATCTCCTCTCCCTTGGGACCTGGAGAAGGGGGTGATTACCTGCCCATCCCCTGGGGCTGGAAGAGGGGGATGCCTGTGCCCTAACCTGTCAGCAAAACCCGACTGTACCTGTCTGCTTTGGGCCACCAACTCTGTCCACAGGGCCACATCCCTGCCGCAGACCGTCTCCCAGGGCAGAGCTGAGCCTGGCAGTGAGCAGGGACGACAGGATGCCCCGGCACAGGGCGGGCACAGCCACGCACCACCAGGCAGCTCCCGCGCCCGCCTTACCTGGGAGCTCTGCAAAACCACTGCCAGGGAACAACAACGCTCCGGGCAAACACAAGCTGCTGCCGTGGCGCCCTCATTTGCATCTCCTAATGAGATCCATTAATTTCCACTACAGGGAGAGGCAGGAGGGGACAGCACAGCTCGTGGCCGTGCCTCACCTGGCGCGGGGCAGGACTCACGTTTTGACGTAGGGGTCGGAGTAGCCGTTGGCATCCATGGCAGCCAGGTGGGCACAGCGGATGATGCCCACCAGGAGCGCCTGCTTCTGAGAGCTGTACTTGAGGGAGATGAGGATCCGGCCACGCTCCTCCAGCGACTTGTCCTCTGTTTTATCTATCTGCAGGAGGGAATGCAGCCAGTCCGGAAGCTGTTCCGCGGCCGGACTCCCACCTCCCCAGCGGGAGGGGTGCTCCCACAGTCCCACGTGCAAGCAGCTACACCCATGGTCCCACGGTGGGGACGTGGCTTTGAACCTCCCACTCACCGGCAGCTGCTTCTCCAGGCAGATGCTGAAGTTTTTGGTCTGGTTGGGCTTCAGTTTCTTCAGCGGGATCCGCGTCTCCCCAATGAACTCGTTGTGGCGGAACTTGTCCTCGTCACAGACCGAGATCCTGCAACAGGCACAGGGTGAGCGGGGACGCTGGGGAGAGGGGAGGTGATGGCACCAGGGAAGGGGCTGCTTCATTGTACTGCAGGTCCCCCCAGAGAGGGGACAACTCAGGTCACTGTTCCCCAGCCCACTGACTGGGCACCTCCTCCTCAGGCAGCTGGAGGGCATTCAAGTGCTGCCACAGCCTGCCCAGGGCAGCTCCTGGTGTGAGTCGGTGTCTAACGCAGGTCCCAGCCCAGGCACTGTTGGAAAAGCAACCTCAAACATCCTTGTGGCTCTTCCACTAAAACATCAAAAAGTCATTGGTGACTAAAGTAAAACTACTGAGCTGCCACCAGCCCAGCTGCATTTTGCCCGGCCATGGAGGCTCTTCCTCAAACCACCCTCACACTGTACAGCTGGGAGAGGTGTCGCTCCCACAGAGCTCCTTCCCTCCCACCCGAGGGGCTCGGGCACTGCTCAGAGCGTGGCAGTTCTCAGAGTGACCCTGGCTGCCAGTTTGGGGCACGGGGTGGATCTGCCACCTCCTCTCCCACCCTGCAGACGAGCCCATGAAGGATTTACAGCCCCAGCGGGTGGAAAGCATCACACCTGAGCCAGGAGCAGCTCTCCCAGCCCCGTTGGGGTCCCGGGATGCATCCCTCTGACGGCAGCCGAGAGCAGTGACAGTGGAGCTGAGCCAAGGCTGTTCTCTGTGAGAAAGCTATAAATGCCTTTCCCTGAGCTGGCAGCTAATGAGTCATTTCTCTGCTGCTTCCCAGCCCGCTCTGGGCGTGAGGAGAGAGGACAGAAGAGCAAAGTTAGTGCTTGCAGGGAGCCTCTGCTCGCTGCTCCTGAAATCCCGGAGAGGGGCCAGGAGGGTGGTGGCTGCCTTGAGGGACCAGCTGTTCCCCAGCAGTGCTGTCTGGACACGGTGACAGGGAATGCCATCCCATCCCCCTCCAGAGGGAGCATCCAGCATCTCACATCCTCATTGGAGCCACGCAGGGAGCGGCTGGGCTCCCTGCCCATAAAGGAAAGACATTTCCCTTTCCTTACATTCTCTGCTTTCTCTTTCTTTAAAAAAATATTCCTACAGTGTCTTCCCATCCTTTTGCTACCTGCCTTTCTTCACCCACTCCTGTTGGTGTCCATTTCCCACGGGTGGCACCTCTGCCTCCAGGGACGGTACGGGAAGGGGGAAAAAGTAATTAAAGATAAATAGTGTGCTGTGATCCCACCTGAGAGTAACTAATTGCACCCCACACCTCTAGTCTGCTCAGCGCCTGGATGGCTTATCCGTGGATGGGTTGTCTATAGATGGTTGATCTGTGGATAATTTATGCATGGATGGTTTGTCCATGGGTGGTTTACCTGTGGATAGTTTAGTGGCTTATCTACAGATAGTTTGACCACACTCATGCTCACAAGTGAATAATAAGGAAGCAAGGAAGCCATGGGATGGCTCAGTGGCACGTCACAAAGATCAGGGAGCAGCAGAGGAAAGGGGTTTGGAAAAAAACACAATGGAAGCGGGAAGACAGGGAATGCTGCTCTCCAGAAAAATGTAGCTGGATGCAGCGTTACTATAGATACCCACGAAAAAAACACCCCACTGCAACAGTAAAACCCTCAAAGAGGATCTCAAATGCAGGCACAATATTCCCTATTTCCTTTCCTCCTTTTCTTTTAAAGAACAAAACTGAAAAAGGAGCAGCAGCAGCAGCTCCGGAGATAACACTTGCCAGGCATGTGTCCATCTGGGCAAAGCTGGGGAGGGAAGGGGAGGGCAGGGATGTGAAGGCTGGGCTGGGGAGAAGGGGACAGGAGGGAACAGGGGGGGACAGGTGGGGACATGGCCTCACAGGGAGCTGACAGCCTGGGGAATGTTTGTACACCCAGCAATCACAGAGTGGTGCTGGCTCCCAGGCACTCAGGGAGACAGGATTTGGGATGGTTTGCCCTCCTAAAAATGTGAGTAACAAGATCTTGTCCTGACAATGTCTAGGTACACCCCAGAAGCACAATAAGATCCTGCTTGCTGTGAAGCCCCAGGCACATCCAGGATGGGTAGAAAACCAGGAAGGAAACGCATGGAAAACTTCCATGGTGGTGGCAGGGAGAGCATCTCCAGTGTCACACTGGGAGAGGCCCCAGAGCCCCACCAAGCCTCGTTTCATTGCCCACAGGGACACGGGAAGCCCCTGTGTTTATGCAGAACCGTGTCCCTTGGGAAGTAGTTTTTGGCACATCTGCAAGACCTGGGAACTGTTGCTGCCCCGAGCAGCACGACGGAGCTGGGGACACCACTGGGTTTCTCCCACCCCTCTTTTCCCTCTGGTATCTCCAGCCACCTCTCAGGTGGGTCCGTACCTTTTGTGCCCATCTGTGTGTGATGCCCAGAGGGGTTCAGTTGGGGTTTCATGCCAGCCCTCCCAGTGCCTCAGGCTCAGTCCCCAACCCCAACCCCTCTGCCTGGCTGCGTTTTATCCCCACTGGGATGGTATTTTTAGCTCGGGCAGGCCAGCAGTGCCCTGGCCCATCGGTGAAGGCAGGAGCAGTGAGTCAGATGAGCAGGCAGCTCCAGCCCCAGCCCTCCCGTTGGAAAATGGCATAATGCAATTACACCAGCTTGAATTTTATTACAAGAAATCGATGTGATGGAATTTTTATGCCTTGGGTTAGAAAATCAGCTCCCTGACAAACAGCACGAGACGCCTCCAGCAGCCTCGTTCACCTGCAATCCCGAGCTTGTAACTCGAGCACCACCCATCCCTCGTCTCTCCCTATGAATCCCAATCCCTCCAGCTCAGCGTTTGGTCTGATATCTTCACTGTGGGGTCCTGATCTTTAAGTTAAGGGCTGTGAAAACCACCTTGGAAGAAAATTAAGCAGCAAATGAACAATCACTGCTCATTAAACTTGTTCTGCCTCCTACTCAGCCCGGGCTCCTGGGTTACAGCCCTGACTCACCGCGCAGCTCCAGCAGCCCTGCTCCGCTGACTCACGGCTTCTGCTCTCACACACGTTCCTCCTGCCTCCTTCCCAGTGTGGAAAGGGGAAATGGGGGTCAACAAGGACCCTTTTCCACAACACACACGCACACAATAGGCAGCAGAGCCTGAGGATGCATGCTCTGTGCCCAAGATCCCTTATGGTCCCTATAGCAACTTGGCTCTCAATGAGGAGCAGACGTGCAGGTGAAGCCAGCTTGGCTTAAGGACAGGCAACACCAGGCAAGGAGGGAAAACAGCAAAAGTCTGCATCTGGGAACTGTCCAGCTGTCCGAAAAACAGAAGGAGGATTCGGTGCTGGGCTCCATCACAAAAAGCCTTGAAGTGTGAGCACAGAAACCACAGAGAAGTGAGATACAATTACAAGGGCACCTGCAGTTCTGAGCAAACCCCATTCAGCACTTCCAGGGTAAAGCAATTCAGGACCCCAAACCTCCAAGTGTCTTCACTACACCTATTAGTCCTGATCAAATACTATTTTCTGAATAATATATTTAATGAGTCATGATGTTTGTCAAACACATGATTAAACAAAGAATTCCTGGCATTTGTGGGCTAGCTGAGTATCATATGAATAATGCATCACTTTGCCAATATATCTGGATATGAATAATTGTATCCAATATCTGGCCAGCTCTGATATTTATTATGAATATAATTTATTTTTTTGCATATTACATGTATTATTTAAACGTAGGTGATTGTATTCTGCCTATTCCAATTTCCCCTGCAGCATTTCTCTGCCTCCCCCTGACATGCACCTTGGCTTCCCACCACTGGACAGAGCTTCCAAACTGCTGCCACACGGTCATGCTTGGAGCCCAGATGAGAGTGGGGACTGTGGGGTGAGATTTTCCCTCTCAGTGCTGCCAGGGAACCTGCCCCCCAGCCCATCCATCTGTGCACTCAGAGTCCAGCGCCTTCCACACGGCTGTGAACTTGCTTTCTACCAGGCTGGTGGGTGGTTTCATCCCTGTTAAACCTTGGGCTAGACTCAGGGATATTTAATTCAATGAATGGATGAGACCTTTCGAGATCCTCCCACCTGCTGTGTTTCATGAAATCCAAAGTATCTGGTGTTATTTGAGGGGGTTGATTCATTAACAAAATCCCACTTGCCAGCGCAATCAGCTGGGCTGCCTTCACCTCTCCTTCGCCCGGGGGGTGGCCCTGCTCGGGGAGGTGAACCCTGGTGGCTCCTGGGCTCTGTCACTGCAAAGCCACTTGACCAGTTTGAACAAGGGGTACGGCTGGGGGGCTCAGGAAAGAGGGGATCCATTACCCAGCTCTCCAGGATGTCCCTACTCCAGCTGCTCCAACAAATGCCACTCGTCCCCTTGAAGAGAGCTGCAGGCTCTGGCAGAGTGCCCCATTCCAGCACCACCCCACCAATCCATGCTGGACACGTGCCTTCCAGGAGCCCAGGTGGGCTGGAAAGATTTCTGGGTGCTTTTCCAGCTCTCCAGGCAGCGGGGAGGCGAAGGCTGGCGGCAGCTTTGATCTCCGCCGTTATTTTCACATTAAAGAGACTTTGCAATCGAGTTCCCTGCCCCTCCCCTGGATCTCAGCACCAGGGAGGCTCCCGGGGAACGGTCACCACCCAGACTGAGGGGAGCATCACTCATGCTCTTTCAAGTACCACCAGCTGCCTGGCAGGAGCCTCGACTGATTAGCACTGGGAAAATCAGCGTCTTCACCGCTTTGAAGTTGGCTTTTCCTGACAGAGAAGGAGATATTTTGATGAGATGATGGACAGGCGAAGCAAAGCACCAAAGATAGGACAATGGGAGATGCCTCCTGTGGGAAGTGGCACTGGGAGAAGTGAGGGGGTCATTGCCACTGGTGTCGTGGAGAAGAGAAACAGCTCAAGCCACAACAAAATACTCAAAGATTGTCAGTTTAGATTGGATATTAGGAAGAAATTCTTCCCTGTGAGGGTGGTGATGCCCTGGCACAGGTTTCCAAGAGAAGCTGTGGCTGCCCCATCCCTGGAAGTATCCAAGGGCAGGTTGGAAGGAGCTTGGAGCAACATGGGATAGCGGAAGGTGTCCCTGCCCATGGCAGGGGGTGGAATGAGATGAGCTTTAAAGTCCCTTCCAATGCAAACCATCCTGAGATTCTCTAATTCAGCTGATATCTAAATGAGGAGGTTCAAGTTCTCAGCATCCTTCTACTCAAAGAACCATCCAGTGTTTGAAGAGAAGCAAATCCAAGCAAGATATTAAAATAAAAGACTGGGTGTTTTTTTACCTTGTGTCTGGTGTGCAAGAACTCTCATCTCATCTAAACCTGATTCAGGATAAATAAAATCTCCTCTGCCAATATCTTCAGCTGCGAAGATGGAGAAAAGAGAAAAGGGGGCTGGGGAATTGCTCTTAAGGAAAATGAAGAGCTCTTGAATTTTAGGCTCTGGGTTCCCCACACAAGATAAGAGATGAGGCCATGGTGCTCAGAAGTTTTGTTTTAGCAGAAGAATTCTTTGGGCCATAGGTTTCCCTCAACTCCCTAGAAAGGAGCCTTTGGAGCTGCCTTGAGCTAATTTGCCATTAACCAACCTTGTCAGGAATCTCCCTGTGAAGCTCCACAGCACCCAGGCTGGCAGGCAGGAATGGGATGTGCTAACACTGGATTTCTATGGGGAGGAGGGCAAATCCAGCTCTGCACCTGTTTCTGCACATCCCCCCAGCCACTGGACACCTCACACCTCCCTGCTGCCTCCAGGATCACAGCCCTTTCCCAGGGAGAAGCAGCTCCCAGGGCCCTGAAAAGGTGGGGGTCGAGTCCTCCTGCTCCCTGTTGCCTTCCAGTGAACAACTCAGCCGAGCATCTCCCTACAAACTGATTTCCACGCTTGAGGAGGCTGAAAACTTCAAAGCCTGGAGTGAAAAAATACCCACCAATAATAATAACAAACCAGAGGCTTTCCAGCCCCATCAGCCTGCAGCACTTTCAGCATGACTAATGTTTTCCAAGTGAAATAATAATCCATGGTGCTGAATTTCCCATCTCTATGCACATTGCAGACAACAGGTGGGCTCTGCTCCGGTTCACCTCTGAGCAGGACCTCTTATAAGGCAGCTTTGTGCTCCTGTCATGGGGAAAATCACAAACTCCCAGGGCACCTGCAAATGAGGAGGGTGGGATTCCAGCCACGGAGCTGGCAAAGCCCTGAGTCCTTGGAGCAGGAGGCAAAATCCTCCTTTGTTTGACAGCAGATCTTACAGCAAATCCTGCAGCGCAGTCCCAGATCAGCGCAGTGATGGAGCAGCTGAGGCTGCCCAGCACCCCCCCGAGCAGGATCTGTCCTCAGGATCCGGGTCACTCCCTGCCCTCACCCAGGTGGGAAAGAGGCCAAGACATAAAAATCTTTGCATTCACAGGTGTCTGCTCCCTGCAGAGCATCACTTCCAACCTCACCCCATCCCACCACTCCGCCCCTGCCCACCTCCAGCCCCACACAACCTCTCCCAGCCCCTGGGAGATGCTGAATGCACAGAGACTGAACCAAATCAACAGAATAGAATCATAGAATAAATACAAACACTCTTTGTTTAGTTTGACAATAATTCACAGATGCCTCTAGCTTTCTTCCAAAAAGCTCAGCCTCGAAAGGGCCCTAGAACTTCCCTGGGGAGATTTTCTCAGCACGACAAGACCACAAAGCCTTAACCTGTGCCCATGAGAGCTGGACACGAAGAGGTTAAACCCAAACACCACCACCTCCTCTGCAGGCAGGAGCCAGCCAGTGAGTTATGAAGTTAATGACAAAGCAGGAACATGCCCCTCTCTGGTTATTCCAGCCCAGGCTGCCTGTAAATCACGCGTCGGTCACCGCGGGGGTGATGGATTTGTGCAGGGCACGCGCACAGGCTTTGGCTGTGGTGGGTGAGAACTCTGCCCCTGTTCTGCCGTGAGCAGCACCAGGACTCTCCTGTGGGGCAGGACTGTGGCCCCCAGCACTGGGCTCAGCACCCCCTCATCCCCCGGGCCCTACCGCAGGGTCTTGCGGATCATGTCCTCGTCGGTGATGCCGTAGTAGGTGAGTGTCTCGTTCCAGGTGGGGTTCAAAGTGTTGCGCAGCGTTTTGGTTCTCAGCTTATTCGCCTAGAAGAGCGGAGAAGGTTGTGGTCAGTGGGAATCAACCCCAGGAGGTCATTTGGGCAGGTAGTGGGGAGAAAAGGAAGCCCAGTTTGGAAATGAAGGGGCAGCGGGTGCTGTTGCCCTTCTGCCCAAGCACTGTAACCCAGCCAGTCCTCCATGGGGTGGCCCAAGTCCACCCCGACTGCAGCAATAACCAGAGGGGCAGAGACACAGCAATTCACTGATTTGCCAAGCAATCCAACCCTGCATCCCGCATCCTGGAAACAGCCAGCAAAATGGGAACCTTGGCAGAGCACGGAGCAGGGACGTGGATTTCATTTATGCAGTAGGAGAAAGCGAGAGAGAGGGAAAAGAAAAAAAGCCTTTTCAGGTTCATTAAAAAATACCAATTTGCTGTTCTGGCTGTTTGTTTGCATTCCCACTCCCAGCACAGCTCCCGATCCTGCCTGACTCAAAATAACTTCCTTGATACGCGTTTTGTCAGCACCAGCAACTCCTTCCAGCGCCGCAGCTCTGCAGAGTGGGAGGACAGGGACAGCAGGGCTCGTGTTCCTGGCATTGGTGGGGCATCCTGGCACACACCCACTCCCCAGCTCAGGGGACATTAATCTCCTTACTCCCTGAGATCCCTGTTTCTGTTGGGACAGGGGGAGAGCAGGAGCAAAGGTCTGAGGCTGCAGATGGGGCTTCCTCACCAGCCCCCAGGCTGGCACAGCCTGGCAGAGCAGTAGTTTTCCCTCTAATTAGATGTCAGACAGCTCAATCCCTGCCTCAGCTGCTGCTGGGCATAAGGAACTCTCAGGACATCAACACCTCATCTCGTGGGTCTTTATGGGAAGCTGCTACATTCCCCACCTGGGGTTCACCAGCCCTGAGCTGAATGTGAGCGGGATGCAAAGCACGGGGTGAAATAGAGAACTCGTTCTTGCAGCACGAGTGGGGTCACTTTGTTGTCATGTCCTTCCCACACCAAAAGCACCCCAACCACACAACCTCTTCCAGATCAGCTGGAGGTGGCCACCAGCTGGAGCTGCCAGTGCAGCAGAACCATTGAGGGATGGCTCACTCCCAATGTGCTGCGCAAAGCAGCTGCTTGCCCTGGGTTTGATCCCTCAGAGATGGAGAATGCCTCTGGAGTTTGTGCTGTGCTCTCACTTGCATTTCCAAAGCCATTTCTGACTCTGAAATCAACCCATGCCCTGCCCAGCGCTGTGGAGCTGCAAAACACCTGATGCCACGTTAGGAGGAGGATTCCCCTGGAGCAAGGCAGGATGCTCCATGAGCTGAGCGGGATGCAGGGGCAGGATCTCAATTAGGAGCAGCATCTAAAGCCCTGCAATGCCAATGGCATTTCCATCACTCAAGCAGGAGCTGGTTTGCAGGAGGAGAAGCTGCCAGCCTGGCTGTGCATGGGCACCAGCCTTGCTGAGTCCATCCCCACATGCCCAATGACAGAGTGATGCAAACCGAAGGGGACTGCAGGCAGGTGCTCTCATTTAAGGCCTCCTGTCACCTTTGATTCAATACCTTGTTTGCCTTAAATCTTTCCTGACTTTGTAAAGTTGCTTCAATTGAGGCGCTTTATTGTACCAGGTTCCATCTCACATCTATTTTATCTCATTCCTCGGTGATATTGTGGCCACCACGACAGGCTCCAGCCCAAGCAGCGGGATACGTGTCAGACAGGGAGTCTAAAGCCTGCTGAAGGGTGACAAGGACAGCAGGGAAAGCACTGATGGCACCCACTGCCTGCTCAGACCTGTGGGTAACACATCCTGGGGCTGGGGCTCTGGGGGTCAGGAGGGAAAGTGGGTTTAGCCAGGGGGGTGACATGATGGGCATCACCCAGCAGCTAACGCTGCCCTGGGCAAGGGACATGAATTAGATCAGAGGAACCGAGCTCTGGGAATGCCTTTTTCTCCCATCTGGAATGACTCAGTAGTCAGTAACCAGCTCACGTGGAGGGTTTAAGAGGGAATTAATTCCAGCCCTGCATGGGGAATGAATTCCAGCCCTGCTTCCCACAGCTCTGCCACAGGTGGCTGAGAGCTCAGGACTGGGACAGAAACACCCGAGGAACTCAGGGACAGTCCTGCTGCTGGAACACCTGGACAGGAACATCCAGCCCAGGACACACCCGTGATCCCCCCAGACCTGCTCACCTCTCCAAGGGCAGATCCAGATGATGCTGTTTGGAATATGGGGGCAAGGAGAGGGTCCCCCCATGGCCGCTCTGGGCTTGTGGAGTCTGCAGCTCCTGCACTACCCTCAGCTCAGTGCTCCCCTCCTGCCTCTCCACTCTCCACCACCTCCAGCAGAAATGCTAATCAATGCATTTGCAAAACATGGAAATGACAGATAATATCGCTGATGAAAGCGCTCCCGGCTCTCCTAATTCCAGCGGAACTTGAAATGTGGTTAAAAACTCCCTCTACCGCCCTGAACATTATGAATTAATTCAACCGAACCGTAACAAGTAAATATACCTCCCCAAAAAAGGTCTTTCCTTTCGTGTAGAATAGGAGTGCAATTAATATTCATAACACATACGTTTAGCATTTAAATTCCACATCCCCATCAGTTACACCAAGCTCTCACTACACATCAATATCTTTAATTACTCTTCTCTCCAGCAAGCGCAGAACCTAAGGAGATGGAAATATTTCCCTTATGATTTATACTCTGTTTTATTACGATCTGAGGGGTTTAAAATGTAAAAGAAACAGGGCAAAAAAAAAAAAAAATTAAAAGGGTCTGGTTTGTTTATAGCTTCAGATTGTTTCACTCGGTGCTTCCCAGGGGCTCCTGGAGAGCAGCATTTGCATCCCCTGCTCCCAAGATGAGGAATCAGGGATGGCACCTGACTCCCAGGCAGTGGTTTCCCAGAAAGGTATTTTCTACTCCATAAGGATGAATTTAGCCCCAATTCTTACCTCCTGCTCTCTCTAAGGACTTTTTATTCAAGAGATGGGCAGGAGGCTCGGGGCCTGGCTGCAGCAGCCCCTGGATGAGGAGCTTCTCCCTGGGGAACCTCCTGGGCCTAATTTCCAAGGAAAAGGCACAGCCCCAGGAAGAGAAGGAGAAGTGAAAAGGCGTCTCACCTTACTGGCTCCGGGAAGCAAGTGCAACTTGACGTATGGATCAGCCAATCCATTATGGTCCATCGGCTTCAGGCCCTGGAGAGGGAACAGCAAAAAGCAGGAGTCAGGATAACAGGAGGATGCTGGGCAGGCAGGGTGGCTTCACTGAGCCCATCCACCAATGCCTGTTTCCCTGGGATATGGCTGGTCCACGGAGTAATTGCATTTCCTCGGGATTGGGGATGGAGGGGAGTGTGGCTGCTGCAGGATCCAGGCCGGGCACCAAATCCACACACACTCAGCATTCCAACGCCATCTGTGGAGCCGAGGAGGGGCTGTGGGAAGTGGGAAGCTCCTCACCTGCACTTGGCATCGGCCACCAGGCACCACTCCGCTCTCCCGGCAGCCTGACTCTGCCATCCTCATCACAATTAATTTGGGGGTTAAGTAAATCAGCACAGAGACTTCTGAGGTTTGAAATTACAGGGTTTTGTCATTTAATAATTGCTTATGAGCAAACACACACCTCTGCTGTTGTGGTGCTACTTCTAAGTGCTCCCAGAGGGTGTGATAGCACCTACCTACTCCGTGTTATTAAGGCACAGCTGAAGGAAGAACTGCTCCAGGCCAGTGGGAGGCTGGTGCCAGCTGAATGCTGTGGTGTTTGCAAGGAAATCTGGGGGTACCAGAGCACAGACACAAGGAAATACTCGCTGCAGCCATTCCTGATGGATTTTATACAACACCCTCACAGCTCTTAAAGGATGACGTGGATCACGTCTCTTATAGCAATGCTCTGGAGCTGATCCTGCCTTGGGAAGAGGGAGGACACAAGCTGTGTCTCTGTGCCTCTTCTAAACAACCTGAAAATTATCCAAGGGCGAGGCACAAACCCAGCCCAAAGCCATAACTGCACAGGCTGCATGGAAACAGACTCCACAGGGCAGGGAAGCAACTCAGGAGCATGAAAAATGGAGCCTAATTTTCACCAGTCCTAAGAAGAAATGAGAATGGCTCCATCGTGGAAGTCCTTGGATTGTTTCCAGCCTGGCTGTGGGATCCCTGCAGGAGTTATTGCTGGGCTGGCTGAAGGCAATTCTGTGCCTGGATCAGAGGAGGGTTTCTCTGCAGAAGTATCCATCCAACCCTGGCTCCAAACTGGGCGTGGAGATCAGGCTGGGTGATGCTAAAGACTTTTCACACCCTTTTTGTGATAAGCAGAGTACTCACTGCCTGGATAATGAGTCCCTGCAGCTGCCAGGGATCCACCTGGCAGGAAAGTATTTGTATGGACTGCTGCTGGAACGGCTGTGTGCAGTGGAAACCTAATCATTAAGGCCTGGATTTCGGCAAATCAAGGAGGGAAATCGCTTCCATATTTCACATATATGGAAGAACTCACCCAGCCTAACCCACAGAGCCACAGCAGCTTCTTGGGATGCCCTGTGCTCCCCCTGAGCTGCACAACCTGGCCAAGGGTGCAGGATGTTCCTGACCTTGGGAATGTCTCTGATTTGGAGCAAGGCTTCTGCTTCAGAGACAAGAGCTCTGCTTCAGAGACAAGCAAGCTGCCCTGGGGCAAGAGAGGCCAAATGGTGCTCAGGAAAGAGCTCAGGATTTTGCTTCTAAAGCAGAGCCAAAAGGATAAAAATACCAGCAGCGAATGGAGGTGAAATGTCCCTGCTTTAACTGCAGCCTGTGGGTGATGTCCCTGCCCCAGCAGATACTGGGAGGAAGGTGGTGGTATTGGCTGTGGCTCCACGGGCAGATAGGGCAGGAATGGGCTGGATTGTCCCCAGACTCCAGAGGGGATCACCTACACAGTCCACCCACAGAGACCCAGGCTCTCTCCAGCCTCCCCAGTTGGAGGTGCCCACCTGCCCAGTGCTGCACAGCAAATGAAATCAGAAACAAGCAAGCAGATTCCCATGAAAATGGATGGAGAAAGACAGGCAGCTCTGTAATTCACCCATCAATTCAGCTCAATTAAATTACCTTCTGAGGAGGCTATTAAAGGCTTTTTTAATAGATGTGGTATGGAAGATGGAGTGACAGGAGCCTGGAAAATAGCTCCTAATGTCACGTCTACCTCCCTCCCATGTCACTTGATACGTGTGTAGCACACAACTGAGTTTAGCAGAGCTCTGCCCTGCAAAGCTGCTCCCGTGGGAGCTCATCCCTCCCACAGGGACGACCCACAGGGTGATCAGCACCTGTGTGGAGGGATTGCCAGCCTAAAGCTGCTCCAAGAGAGCTGAGAGGCAGAGAAGAACAACAAGGCTCATATATGGAAGCAGAGCCTTCCCCTGGATCCATCCAGGGCACCTCCCTGGCTCCAGCCAATCCTGCTGCTGGGACTGATTTATGGTGCTGTGCATCACGGCACAGGCGATGGAGAGGAGACGAAGTTTCATCTTTTCCCTTCCTCTGCCCAACCCCAAAATCTCTGCTGCAATCCTATGGAGACCTCCAGCTCCCCGCATCCCAGCCTCTGCCAGCTGCTCTCCGTGCCAGTGACATTTAGCTAATCAATAGGATTTAATTACAAGTTGGGCTAATCGGGCTGCCGATTAACGCCACGCTGGAGGCACGCAGCAATCACAGGAGATGGATTCATTCCATCATTCACCCCACAACGAGCTGCCTGCCCGCTGAGCAGGATCCCCTCTGCCCAAAAACCAGCCTGGATACCTCCCAGGCCAAGGCATCCCATTCCGAAACGGGGCAAACTGCGCAGCCCAGAGGAGACAGGCGGCTTCAGGAATTTCCCTGCAGTGATAAATATTTATGACTCAATCCATAAGTAATGCTCAGTGCATTACTGCTGAGACCCTCCTTCTGTTGGAAGGGAGGGAGCTTCCAAATGCTCGGCAGGGTGGAAACTCCCGGGTGTTTTCTGGCCAGCGGCGCAGGGAGAGCAGCCCAAGGATGCTCCCACAGGCAGCAGCTGCCTGGGATGGCCTGCCTGGGGCCAGGAGCTCCTTCACCACTGCCATACACCCCCTTGAGGCTTATCCTGGGCATCCGCATCCTGAAAGCAGGAGACCAATGAAGCTACAGGGTAGCACAGTCCATCGTGTCTGTGCTGCCACACACCCTTATAGATCCCATAGGTCCTATGATTCTGTGATCCCCCTATAGCAGGTTATCCTCTTGCTCCATGGAGCAGGTTGGGCTTTGTAGGACTGAGCAGCCCGGGTGCCTGCACATTCACTGAACCCTTTTCCACCACATTTTCTAGGAGGGGGTGATGCCCAGAGCATCCCAGCTCTTTCCCACACGTGACAGTACAGATCAGCACAACACAGGGTCTGTGCAGGGCAGCAGGTGAGTGGGGAGAGCCCTCCTGCCAGCCGGGCACACGGCTGTTCCCACAGTCCAGGAGTGAGCTCCCATTTATTCTCCTATTGATCCGAGCTGAGCTGCAAGGTGTCTGAGTTCAGCCTTGCCTGAAGTGTGACAGGCAAAGTGTGGCAGGGCTACTGCCAGCACTGAGAGCCATTAGTGTGAGGTGGCCACACTGCCTGATCCTACCTGATCCCACCTTATCCTACCTGATCCCACCTGATCCTGTGCTCCTGCCAGCACAGGGTCCAGAGGGTGGCACAGTGGCTGTCTGGAAACTCCCAGCATCTCACAGATCCCGCTGTGAACCTGCACCAAGAAACACCTCAGATGTCCCCAGGCACAGCACCAGGGGTAAATTCCCACATGGAGTGACTATCCCAGCCTCAGGCACAGTACAGCAGCTGATGGTTGCAGAGCAGGAAATTGGTGGTGGAGCACAACAGGTTGAATTGAACCTGCTGCCAGTGCTCCCCTCTTCCTGCTCTCCAGGAGCTGATAACGGGACTCGTGAGGGACATCAGCAGATAGAAAAGTGCTGGAGACTAAAATAAACGGAGAGAAGCAAAGAGATCTAAAGGGAGAGAGAGGGGTTGTTTGGGGTTATCGGAGAGAAAGAAAATCATGTCTCGCATGGCTGAAATAGTCCAGGTTTTAACGGCTGCTGGCAGCAGCTGAGGCTCCAGGAGCTGCAGGAGTTGGATATATCCTGAGGGCACCTTCCCCAGAGGGCTGAGACAGGTACCCAGGACACCCAGCCCAGGTGCAAGGGCAATGCACATCCCAGCACTGCTGGGGCTTGTGTGTGCGGTCCTGGCACTCGCCCATCTCCTCCTCTACAGCACTACTTGTAACATCTACACAGCCGGCGCCGGCTCCCACCGACGGCAGCCGGGGCCTGGCCCTTACCTTTCTGTAGTCAAGTTTTGGCAGCTTTCCCCAGGCGAGAAGATGAAATGAGAGCGAGCAGATGGCAATGTAAATAAAAGAGAAAAATGGGAGAATGAGAGCAGAATGGAAATGAACAGGACTCGAGTGCTTGAATGTCAGGGTGGCGAGGAGGGCTCTGCCCACCCCGTGGCCAGGGGAGGTGCAGGGGTACCCCCAGTCCTGTGGGGTGGAATAAGCCACTACTATTCCTGACAGAGCCAGGTGGGCACGGCAGGGCTCTCCTTTGCCAGCCCTGCCCTTGCTCTCGCTGATGTGAAATCTATCACTTGCTGCTCACAGGTCTCCTTCCTCCCACTCCAAATACAATTAGAAATCTCCTCCTTGGCACCACTCCCGAGTGCGCCAAGGGAAGCCTGACCCAGAGGCTGCCGGAGAATTCACGGGCAAGAGGGAGGGAAACAAACCCCACTGTCTGCCCCAGCCCTGCCCTGGCAGCCCTGCCCAGGAGCTGTGGGTGCTGCACTTGCCCCCAGCCAGGAGCAGCTCCAGAGCTGCCAGGGCAGATGTTTCCATGCTCATCCCCAAAGCCAAGCTTTGGTGCTGGAGTGTTCCAGGCAGGGAGAACCCTGGGTGGGGATGTGCATTCTCAGTGCCCAGGACCAGCACCCAGCGCAGCAGGTGCCGGGGTGGGGGCTGCAAACATGCATCCTATGAAGGCAAACAGCATGGCCTGATCCTCTGGGGCTCAGGTCACAGCCCGTTCTCCTGCCTGCTGTAAAAACACTCCACACCTTCCCAAGATCTGCAGGGATTTAGGTCTTCTCCTCCCAACCCACCACTGCCACAGTGACCTGGTACCCTCACTGCTCTAGTCCTCGTGCTGGGTGAAGCAGAGAGGAACCCAGCAACACCCACGGGCCTGGAGGCAGAATCAGGACCTCAGTTATCTGTTTCTGCTCCAAAATGTGCAAAAAGCCCCTAATTGCTTCAATCATGCAGACGGCAAAGGCGCTGAGGCACAGCACTTTGTGGCCGTGATTAGCAGCATTTAAAAGAGCCATTTATAAACTGACAGCCGGTCACAGCCGTCAAGTAAATAACAACATCGGGACGGGCTGCTCTAAAAAGCATCAATAGCTGCAACGATCTCTTCAAAGGGGAAGAGCAGCCGCCTCTGTACTGCTGGAAACGCCCTGAACGGCAGGGCTGGAGGGGAAGGAGAGGGCAGAGGCACTGGGTGTTGGGATAGAAGTGGAGCTGGCAAAGGAATAGCTGCTTCACAGACACCAGAGCCCCTGATGCAACCCAGGGATGAGGGGACACTGGGTGTCCCCTCACCGCCACATTTGCAGCTTTTGGCACATTTGGCACAGCTGCAGCACCTGGGTGGCCCCATAAGGCAGGACAAAGTTTCCCACCTCCAGGCACAGTCAGTCCTGCCTGTTCCCATGCTCTGAGCCATACCTTGGCTTTATTGATGGTGCAGTGGAGAGCGTTGTTCTCTTGATCGTAGAGCAAGCTGAAATCCAGCGTCCCCAGCGAGGCTGCAAAGAAGAGAAGATTCTGTTATCCTGTGTGGCCCAGCCAACGCTGCCTTTTCTCCCTCTGAGCACAAAAGGAGTGGATGAAGATGCTACAGAAATGGCTACAAACATTACAAAACATAAAGCATCCTCCTGTGAGCCCTTGTTTCCAGCTGGTGGCCATCCCCATGTTGGCTGGTGGGGCTGGCACAGTTCTGGGAGAGGACTGAGCAGGATCAGTGGATGCAGCTCGCCCAGCTTTGCCTCTGTGGGCTTTCACATGGGTGACCCCAATCCCACAGCAGCCCCATTGCAGCCAGCAGCTTCCTGTCCCCCAGGAGCCGAAGGCTCTTCTCTGGGAAGATCCAGGCATGGCTGGGACACAGAAGAGACCCAGTGTTGGCACATCCCCCCCTGCTCCAGCGCCGCTGGCATTCCCAGAACACGTATTTGTACACTGACACCTTCAAACAAATGAGCCACCAATGGGATCCCTTCCCAGCTCCAATCTGGCTGCAAACTGTAAATTAAATCCAGAGAGGGATGGAAATACTTTTATGGTTAAAATGAAAAACACCACCAGCTTTTAATCGGAGCAGTGTTCCGTTACAGCATCCGCAACCCAGGAACAGCATCTCCTGGGATGGGACACAGGGACAGGGCAGGAGACCGGAACAAAACCAGAAGAGCCTCAGCAGCAAAAGTACATTTAATTTAAGAAATTCTTTCCCTTTGAATGATCTGAGCAAGTCGTGCTAAACCAAAGCAGAGAAAAAGCCTTAAAAAGACAAGCTTTCCAAAAACACGGCTTAACCTTTTCCAAGGCTCCCAGACCTTATTCGCACACCAAAGCCTGGACATGGAGCAGCATCTTCGCTGTCTCAGCTTCACCTGCCACCAGCCTTGAACTTCCACGGTGGCTCTGGACCCAGCAACCTCCACTTTTCCATGCCCACCTTCCCAAAAGGGGTCTGCCTGAGTGCTGCCCTGCCACCAAACAGCATCCCACCACTGTTTCCAAGGTAACTGCACCTTCCCGCCGCATTCAGAGCATGAAAAAAAAATCCAAAATAAAAACCGGAACAGTTTTGCTCAATATCAAAGCAGGGTTTGCTGCCGGGGGGGAAGAAGAAGTTGGACAAACTTTATGGCAGGAAACAAGGTCCTTTTTTTTCCCCCCAGCACTGACAGCAGCAAGGCACCCACGGAGGAGGTGGATATTCAGGGGACCGAAATGTTCCTGCTGCAATTTCACAGTGATCTCCCAGCCCAAAGGCAAATGAGCTACAGGTTTGCCTGCTAGCAAAAGAAAAATCATTGCTTCAGAGCAAATATCTTGAGTTCAAAACAGAATAAATACCCAAAGAGATTTTCTGCCAGAATAATGTAACCCCCTCGCTCTGGAGCAATTTCATGGCACATTAGCTGTTGGTCTGGGTAAGTCACAAATCAGTGGGGTTTTACCTGCCAGGGGAAGATGGAAGCAATACAGGGTGAGGCGAAACCTGCTGCAAATTCTGAGTCATCTCTGGGTCCGGCCCAAGTGGGTATTTCCAGAGCAATTCCCACCCAAAACCGCTCCTCATCCCACAGGGAGGAAGGCGCAGCAGTCCCTGGGTGCCCCTGCCTGTGCTTAGAGATAGGGAGCTCACGGATGGCAGTGGGTGAAGTGTGAGGCTCCACAGCACAAGGGTGAAAGCCAAGTCAGCAAAACTTCACAAAATCTGCATTTTTCACTCAAGAGCGGAAGATGAAGCCTCCGGTTTCGGAGCCTCATCATTTCCACCTGCCCTTTAATCAGCGCTTCCTGCCAGCCCCACCGCTCGGCCCTCCCGGGTTCAAGCTGTTATTTTATTTTTATCACAGGAGGGGGCCCGCGGCTCAGCCTGCTGGATTTGGCAATTTATAAAACAAATTAAAAGCCTGGCACAAAAACAGACTTTGTCCAGGAAATACTGACAAAGCCCCAGCCTGCCCCAGGGGCGAGGGCAGCAGGGGGGCCCCGCTACTGCAAGACAGGCAAAGCCTAAAATCACCATAACAAGCAGCAGGTGCTTGTTTTGCAGGTGGGGACTCAGGTCCTGCTCCCAGTGCTGGCAGTCCATAAGCAAACCTTGAGCAGTTCCCATTCCTCGTGGAGCTGCCAGGAGCTGGGAGGGCATGGATAGGGGTGCACAGTTCCCCCAGCCCTGCCAGGCTCCAGCCCCAGATCTCCTCCAGTTCTGAAGGGGTTTTCCTCCACATAGGTTTTTTTTCTTGTTGGTGATGATCTCAATAACCAAGAAAAGTTCTGCTTTTAGCAGAGGGATGTGGAAACATCAGCAGAACACGAGCTAATTGCTTACAAACGCGGCCGTATGGAGATGACAAAAGGGGTCAGGCAAACTTGGGGTTTGGCAGCCAAGGTGCTGCCGTGGAGCCAAGGGTAGTGCTGCCACCAGAGCCAGGACCTGGAGGATGCCCAGGACACACTGGACACATCCAGGACATGACCACAGCCCTGCAACCTCCATTACCTCCTGGGGAGGCACATCCAGGCGATGGATCCAGCACAGCAGTGAAGGCAGAGACAAAGGCTGGTGCTTGAGCTGCTCAGGGGCTGAGGAGGTGGCAGAAGACCTCCAGCTGCACCAGGGGTGGGAGCCACCCCTGCACCCCACAGCAGCTCCTTGTAAACTCCCATGGGACCACAACCCTGCACTCCTGGAGCGGGCAGCATGCCGAGCCAGCGGCCAGGCAAGCCAACACCACCACACCAGCACGAGTCACCGCTCCCACCCCTCCTGCAAACCTCTGGCAGCACATCCAGCCCTGGCTGTGGGAGTCCTGCCTCCCCAGCTGGCAGGATTGGGCCCCAAACCTTTGCAATGCAGCTGAATCCTCCTCCTTTGATTGCTTTCCCCCTCCCACGAGAGATGCAACTCGTGCTCTTAATTAAGGGAGCAAGTACCCAAAAAAGAAAAGGGCGGCAACTAGACTCAAAGAGCTGTTACCAGGATTATTTAACTCGACTGGGCTATTCTAAACACTGCCCTCTAATCACACAGGCTGCAAATAAAAAATATAAATAAATGCCTTTGTCAGGCACTACAAAGGCAGCTTGGTGCTCTCCAGACAGCAGGCAGGATGTATCATTATTATTACAATTATTCTGCTCCAATGATAAAATAACCATTAGGAAAGCCGAACTCATTAGGAGGTTCTGACCCTCTTTCCTCTCCATGAATTGGGAGAGATTGATGGGAAGGCGCTGGCCAGGGCCTGGCGTTTAACACCGGCTCTAAAAAGAAAAATAAATCTGACTTGCGCGGGAACGCAAGGCCTCCTCTCCCACTGACCTCTGGGCGTTTTGATTAATTCAGTGGGCCACGAAACTATCAGAGGGCAGCAGAACCAGCAGATGTGTCCGCGGGCTCAGCCAGGGGATGTGGCGAGTGTGGCCGGAGCCCGCGGGCAGCGTGGCGTCCTGGCACGGCGGCAGCAGCACCACCGCCCTGGCCGGCAGAGTCGGCAGAAATTGTTTATTGCTGACATTTCCCATCAGCGCCCAGGGTGACGGGGAGGCTGGAGGAGCTTCTATTTATACCTGCGGGATGAAAGGCAAAACGCAGTGATGAATCCCTGCTCCGCTCCCTTCCCCAGTCCCCCCGTCTTGGCAGGCGCCGTGCCCTCGCCTGGTCCACGCCGGGATCCGCCCCCTCTGCAGCCTGGGATGCTCCAAGGAGAAGAGTTTCTCAGCCCAAGGGATGCTCAAGACACGGAAGAGACCCTGAGACTTGCAGAACAGACCTGTGAGCTTCAGCAAAGCCCGTGGAGGTGGGAAGCGATGACGGAGCGCCCTCCTTACCTTCCCAAGTCAGGGAAGCTCATGACTGCCATGAGAAAGCCCAGCAAAGCTCCACACTAAGAGAAATTGAGGTGTGCGCACAAAAAACCCACTATAGAACTAATTAAAAAGAAGTCCAAAAGCCTTAAGTCCCTCTGCTTATCAGCATTGCTGCTCCCAAGATAATCTGCTCATGGATTTTGTGCCAGGGAGATCAGAGTGGAGCAGTAAAAAGACTGCTGGGGATTGTCTGGATTAGCTCTCCCTTACAGAAAGCACAGGTTCAGTAACCTTCAGACTGGGTATTTTTTAATGCACTATAAAAGATAGGTCCCTATTCTTCCATTGCTTTAATTTTCCCCTGCAATAGAGATAATTTCAAAGGTCCTGAAAGGCAGTAAGTAATTCTGTGCACTTACAGCCCCATGTAAAATGTTGGTAAATGACTCCTCAGGAGGAACAGAAATTATCTCCTGCCATTTCCAAGCAGGACTGCTGAAGAGCATTTTGGTGGGTGGCTCTGTGTGCTCCTGCCTCCTTGAGAACGACAGTGCCTTGACCTGGTCCAGAGGCTCACGATGGGGCAGTGCAGGCAGATAGTGCTGGGGCAGCTTGAGGATTGACTCCCTGAGCCCCTAAAACCCTCCAGGGTTATCCCTGGAAAACAGCACCATCAGTTCCTGCAGCCTCCTGCAGCTGAGGCTGAGCTCATCCAGCATCCACAGCACTCCTGTGCACAGACCTGCTTGGGATTCTGCTTGTGACTCATGTGCCTTTGTGGAGTCAGGGATGGATCCCACAAGGTGCTCAGCTGAGGAGCTGCAAGGCCCTGACGACTGCAAACCCCCAGGTCTGATGGCAGCACTGACCTCTGGCATGATCCTCCAGCCACGGGATTCAGCATCAGCCAGGGAAGGTGGTGAAGGCAGGTGGAAATGGGACACTTCTGAAAGTTCTGCCAGGAGCTATTCCATGAAAATGCATCCTGTGGGAGGTTTTGGGACATGCCCCGGGGGCAGCACAGCATGTTGGGACTCAGACATTCCTGAGAGTCCTGGACCACGTGGTGCCAATTGGCTGCATCACAGGATTGTGATCTGCTGCTGCAGGCAAGGCAGGACATCCTCACTCCTACAGAAAAACCCAGCAGGGACCAGACCCAGCACACAGGCAGGAGACTTTCCTTCCTCGGGAG